CACGTGCTCGAGCGCTGGCGGACGACGAAGTCGACAAAAAGGGCGCGCACCAGCCGAGCAGCGATGTCTGTCAAAAACAAGAGATGGTTTGACCGCTTGTTCAGCAAACATTTTGGTTTAATGGTAGTATTATCTCTAAACAAATTTTTCAGATTGGCTTTATTTCAGTTCAGTTTCATTTAAGTATCCTGCCGCCGGTTCTTGGCCCATCCTCTCTGTGGGTGAGCGCCATTCATCTGAGGTCATCAGCATCAGCATCAGTGCGTTAGAATGTAGAGGCTCAACACGATAACACGTGGCCTCACGTTTATCTGCAATCACGATGTTGTGAGGCACTCGGCCGAAACGAATCTCCAAGGCCACTATGCGGACTATTCTAAAGCACACTTTGCGCAGAGTATAACAGATTCAAAATGAATTTTAAAGAGTTTGTGCCTTTAGCAAAACATCATCAGGAAAAGCTTCTGACACATTTATTGTATGGGGGCACTTTCGCACTCAGAGGAATCGCAAAAAAAACTTAGACAAGTTGTCTGAGGTTCTAAAACACCGCCCAACTTTGTCGACTGTCCTTGACGCGATGATGGGTTGCGTTGTAACCTGCAAAACTTGGCGCGCTGAGGAATGGATTTGAGTTTTCGCACTGTTGGCTCATTGAAAAATGGTGTGTCACCAGAGCTGGGAAAGATCCTGAGCTTCGCCAAGCTTGGACCAAGCTCGGATGATCTTGCATAGCGTCCCTGTCCTGTATTTCTCAGTTCTTTCCTGTCCTCTTGAATATCGCGCTACGAATTTGTAAGACTATGAACCAAGTAGCCCAGCAACGCATGTTTTAATAAATTCTTGACGAGGACGTAGAATCTGCGCTTGCCGTCCGTTCATCATAATGGGGAATTGTGTCCCGAACCTCGCGTTCTTATCTGGACACACCCACCTCAGAAAATCGGACGTACAGGCCGTTTCTAAAGCCCTACATTAGCAATAATACGACGTGGTGGCACAAGTTGACATAATATATTGCATAAGACGCACAGTTTATGTAATGTGCATATACAGTGCAAATAGACTTTTTTAAACAGAAATAATGCAGTTATACGGAAAGACAGGCTTGTTGGTTTTGTTGCATACTGAAGCTGTAGCGCGCTCACACGAGGACAAATACGTTAGAGACCCACTGCGCTGGTCCCTCTGTCTCTATCGTATTTGTCCTCTTGTGTGTGCACTGAAGGGACAGTACGCAGCAATAATGCAACAAAATATATATCGCCTTTAACGTTACGAAACCATGATAAGAATATAAGAGATGGCGTAGCGGGGCGTTTGCGACATTTTTTCCTTGTTGAGTTCTTTACCATGGACCCAAGTTTAAGCCCTCGGGCCAATAGCACTGTACGTCCGACTGATAACGAACGCTGTGTTTAAGACCACATCTCAAAACTTTTGGCTGAAATGTCAACCACCGTGTAACATCTAGACATATGTTTTGGGTGTCAGCTCGAAATTCAGGTGAAGTAGACATCAAGCTGATTTTCTTGGCAACACTTTTATAAGGTGCTCGTGCGCAAGTTATCAGGTAACGAGGCTCGATATCAGAAACGAGGCTTCTTCGACATAGAAGGCTGCCCTCCGTCGGTTGTTGGCGTGGGAGCCTGCGCCGCGCGGGGCGATTGGCCTCCCTTCGGTGAGGCGGCTGCGGGCGATTTGCCACCCACCAGAATACCACGGGCGCTGAAGTGACCATACTTTGGCGGTGATTGCGTCCCTTTCGCAGCTGGCTTGCCTTGTGACTGCGGTGTCGCTGCGCCGCTGGCGCGAGCCGTAGATCTCATTTCAACACCAGGCGCCTTCAGTGCATGGGCTGAAGGCGCCTTGGGAGCATCGATAGTGCGCACCTTGGGAGCGTCAAGATCCATCGGCTTCATCGGCATCACCTGCTCCTCCTACACTTTCTCCGTGATCTTCACCATAAACTGTTGAAAGCGCATTGACGCAGAGAATAAACAACACGCAGCACAGGTTGCAGTACGCCATGGTGCATGGCATATACGCCTGGTAAATTTCTAAAAATGTAAAGGTGCGTTAGAGCACGTACTTCCCCTTCTTCATTAGCCTCTGGAAATTAATTCTAAGCAAGCATGTACAAATAAGCGAGTTTCCAATTGAATTACAATGCTTGATTGAATAGCTAGAATTCAAAGTTTCCAATATTTCGACATACAAGTCTGTAAAAGCGAGAAGGCCTATTGTGAAACTTCACTAGGGTGGGATGACTAAAGCCATAGCCACTGAAAAAAAAAGCAAGGCTAAAGCTGTCGCTAACAACGTTGCAGTAAGTCTTTTGTAAAACTTTCTATATATATCTAGTTAGAAAAGCGAGTGCTTGCTAAGTTTAAAAGGAAATACGTGCTTTCGTACGCAAAAACACACAAGTAAACGGTCACACCTCTTACTTGTTTTCATCTGGAAGGAATGGAGACACGAAAATTCAAACTCGAGTTGTGGCGTTCATTCGATTGCTTGATACGCATAACTTTTCTAATCGAAGTATGAATGATGTCAGTTGCGTAGAAGTTTTTGTATTTTTAGCGTAAAGAGCGTGACATCGATAATCTTAGTGTTGCCATCGCGGTGTCAATAGGTACTGTCTGGCGGTGACAGTTAGGCCCCAGGCAACGGCTTCACTTGATTTGTTTTGCTTTGTTCGTGCAGCGCGTTCGTGGGAATGTTGCGTTTTCGTTGGGTTGATTCGGGTGATTTGTCGTTGAGTCATAGGCGCCAATGCAACGCCTCCTAGAAAACCTATGCCTGGAACGTCGATCTCTTTTCAATTGGAAGCCTCCTGCCAGCACTTAATCTCGGAGGCCATGCCTCCTGCCTTGTGTTGCGACCGGTCGCCGCGTGAGACCGCTTCCCTCCGTACCGCTCAGTCACGTGACTTAACCGTACCCCTATGTCACGTTACATCACAGCTGCTCGGAGAAAATGCTGAAAGCAATGCTGTGTTTGCAGGAAGCGGCCGTCGGAGAAGCTCGCCTTCATACCGAAGGGGGAGGGTAAAATCAGAGGGTATGGCAGCGCGCTCATGACTCACGTTCCAGGCCTAATTTTTTTAGGAGGCGTTGGCGAATGTGATTATATGAACCCTGAGCAGACTGTATTTCGCCTCCTGCTCCGCTCAGCCAGCTGGTGGTCGCACCACTGCACATGCGCCAGACGGTAAGCGTGAGAACAAACCGTCGCTATGCACCTGGACTGTAGCGAGTGAGGCACCACGGGACGCGAGCAGAAACTACGAAAATGGCAGCGTCTCGTGCTTCCGAAAACATAGCGGTTGTTGGGCCAACACGCAAGCCCGCAATGACACTTCAGTGTACGAGAGAATCTGTGCCTTCTCCAAGAAGTCGCCGCAGCCGATGCCTGTGAAAATCCGCGCATGTGGGTGACGTTCTATGCAGCGACACATTGGGAGCCGACATTTCAGGCCACAAAAGATCGTCTCAAGCAGCTGTTTTGGTACAGAAGCCACTATTTTACCTGTTCAGAAACGCCCTTTAGTTTTACTTGTCACAAGGCAAGGCGCTGAATGCGCTGCCTGAGGACAGCGCGTTTCAAACACGCTTCTGTTGCTCCGATTAATATAATTATGATTGATATTTAGGGTTTACGTCCCCAAACCACCATAAGATTATGAGAGACGCCGTAGTCGAAGGCTCCGGAATTTTCGACCTTCGGGGTTCTTTAACATGTGCCCAAATCTGAGCACACGGACCTACAACATTTTCGCCTCAATCAAAAATGCCGCCGCCGCAGCCGTGATTTGATCCCGCAACCTGCGGGTCAGAAGCCGAGTGCCTTAGTCACTAGAACACTTGACATAACCTTGTTTGAGTTGCCCTGAAAACTTAGACTGTAGTCCCGCTTTAAATCAAGGTAACAAAAAAAAGCTCATGCGTCAAGCACCACCGTAACACGAGAGTAAATCAGTTAACACAGTTTTGAAACAAAGTGTGCTTTCTTGCTGCAAGATAAGTACGATTTCCATTTTGCTGCTCAATATACTTTTGACTTTGGTGGCGTCGCTACTACCTTAACAGAAAGACGCTTGGCTAAAACTAACAACCCACGTTACGCTCCAGTTACGTTGAGCATTTGAGCGGAACGGGGATGGGACTGCAGAACTGGTCAGCTAAAAGAGCTTATACATGGTCGCAGAGGCATGCTTGTATACGTGCGCGCCGAGAAGACGAAATGGCAACTGTAACTGACGTCGCCATTTTGTGTGGCCACGTGATAAGACGTGTTGGAACCGTGGGATTTGTTTATATGTGGGGTTTAACGTCCCAAAATCACCGTATGATTATGAGAGAGTCCGTAGTGGAGGGCTCCGGAAATTTCGACCACCTGGGGTTCCTTAACGTGCACCCAAATCTGAGCACACGGGCCTTTTAACATTTCCGCCTCCATCGGAAATGCAGCCGCCACAGCCGGGATTCGATCCCGCGACCTGCGGGTCAGCAGCCGAGTACCTTAGCGACTGGACCACTTCGATGGGGTGGAACCGTAGGAGGTGACCGCTTGGCTGCGCCGAAATTTTGGCGGGATTTACAACCGTTTCGAATCGCGTTCGATTACTGCTCATACAAATAAATATAACATATATTAAATCGTCTCTCTGTTGCATTATTAGTGCCGTAATGGGAGATCCGTAACGACGCTTTGAAGGAAAAAAAACACGACATGCGTCAAAGTGATTTCAATGCTCTTTTAGGCGGAAGTACAGACTTGCGCTCTTCGGTTGCGTATGCCGCAAGATCCGTAAAGTATTCCAATATTCGCCCGCGAAACTCCAGGTGATTGGCTTCATATGTGAAAATTTCTTCACGCGCCCCAGTTGCCACGGCCGCACTGGACCAGCCAATAAAAAGAATCTCAAATCCTGCTGCATGCTTCTTGACGAAGTGGAAACAACGAAATTGGCTTTCGTTCAAGTTATTAACGACTCATACGACATCACTCACATCGAAGAGCTTCCCCCACGCTTGTACGGCAGCCGGCGTCATCAGCTTTTCGTCCCTGGCTTGCAGAACCTCCACGACTGCTTCGCCGAAGATGCGGAAGTGTTCCGGCATTACACCCCGGCGCTCAGCGTGCGCCACGGCGTTCTTGCGGAGCAGTGCCTCCAGGAGAACGGCGTCGTCGGCGTAATCCACTACGGAGGTCAGCTGGAAGCTCACGGAAATGGCGTGCGCGCGGAACTGCGGGTCGTCGCACAGCATGCCGAGCGGCTTGTCGCAAAACCGCGGGAACAGCTGCAGGATCTCGGATGACTTGATGAAGAGCGCTACCAAGATGGTGACTGCGTGGTCGTGGTTCTCCATGCAGTAGCAGTGCCACGTATAACGAAGCAGCCGCGCGTCGCTTCGCTTCAGGCCCGTCTCGGTGTCCTCTTCGCCGGGCTTCGTGTTGTGGAGGCCCATTAGTTCGCGTTTCTCTGTGTTCGAGTGGGCACAACGCCTACCGAAGACGTGGTTGTGTGACTTGCAAGCCGGAAACTGATGCTGATGCTGATGACCTTTGATGGATGGCGCTTACCCACAAAGGGGGATGGGCCAAGAACCGGGCGGCAGGATACTTAAATGAAACTAAACTGAAAATGAAGCCAATCTGAAAAAGTAGCTTAAAATAATACTACCAAAAAACAAAAATGTGTGCTGAGCAAGTGGTCAAACCATCTTTTGTTTTTGAAAGACATAACTACGAATCATAAACTAAAGATCTGAAAAGGTAGTGGTTCACTAGCATGGTAATCTTTTAGTTGCGTTGATGTAATCAAACACAGCGGAGCATACATCCCTGTGGCAGTAACCAAATGAAGTTCCGCCAAGTGATAAAATTACTGGTAAATTTACTTGTATTCCGAGCTTTTGTAATGGGTTTACTAAAAATATTTTTCTCTGATAAGAATAACGATGACAGAATAAAAAGAAATGTTCAATTGTTTCAATTTCGTTGCACCAAATGCATAGCGGTGACGCCTTGAGCTGAGCTTTATTAAGGTAATAATTTAGTTGTGGAACTGCACAGCGCAATCTGGTATAAGTGACCTCTAACTGGCGAGATACACACCACTGTTTATTCCAGCAATAGCTCAAATGCTCAAAATCTTTAAATTTATCCAAATTACCTTTTCCCCATTGCAGGCAAGCATTTCGGAACCTTAGCGCGGTTACGTAAGCCGTATCTGGCAAAACTGGGATGGTGGGCCCACCCAGGGATACTGCTGCTAAAGAGTCCGCCATTTCGTTCAAATATAATCCGCGGTGGCCTGGTACCCATAGCAAATGCAGTTTTTTTTTACGTTTTTCGGTACTAAGTGCCGAAACGTATTCATCAGCTCTGAATTTACTGCCGTAGAAAGTGCATTACAAACTGATAACGAATCTGTAATGTTAACTGCTAATGATTCGCTTGAGGGTAATTTGCGTAGGGCAAGAACAATGGCCAATAATTCTGCCATGAATACCGGGGTATAATCTGGGAGTCGAATCGAAAAAGACCAGTCCAAAGAAGGAGAGAAGATGCCAACCCCAGCCTTTTCTTTTGACACAGATGCATCAGTCGCTATGATATTGCTTATCTCTAGGTGGGCTAGATAATCTGCTAACTGGTCATTTAAATACCTATATGCCAATTGTTTCGCGTTATGAGGAAATATATCATCGAATTGTATGCTAAGCATTGACTTTAGGTTGTGTATTGGACCAATATGTCTAATTTTTACATTCAGTTGCTTTAGTAGCGCTTGTGCTAACACTATTTGCGGGGTGTGTAGTCGCGACCAATGGGTTTCGAAAAATAAAGTCGGTTCTTGAATGAAAGCGTAAAATGAGAGTCTTTGGTGTGAACTGTATATCTTTAAGAATGCTTGCACAGTAAGAATTTTAAACCTATTTAGCAGAGAAGGTAGGCGAGCTTCCATATACAACACGTTATTTGCAACAAACTTTGGTAGACCCAGACACAAACGCAACGCTTCTCTTTCCAGCAGTATCAGGGGTCTCATTTTATAGGCTGCGCTGCCAGAAAATAGTACACATCCGAATTCCATGATGGGCCGCACATAAAGTTTATATATCATTATTAGCACATCTCTTCTTAAACCCACTTTACGGTTTGCAAGCTTCCGTAGCCACCCCATGGCCCGTGTTGCCTTGGAGTACACATCATCAATGTGACTTATCCAATTTAATGTGTCATTATATACGATGCCCAAATATTTAAGGGAATTCGCCTGCGGAATGAGCTCATTACTGTACATTAACGAGATGTTGATAGGCTGCAGAAAAGAGAATGCAAGGAGCACACTTTTCTTTACGTTCAGGGTCATATGAATATTTTTGAGCCATCTTTCTATCATATTGAGATAATTTTGTAGACTCTCGTATAATGATTGAAGGTCGGTATTACTTGCGAAGAAAGCAATATCGTCCGCGTACACATATAACTGAATATCCTTAGTTGATGGAATGGAGCTTAAGAAAATGTTAAATAAAACTGGCGACAGGACAGCCCCCTGTGGTACGCCACGTGTCTGCTTATATCTATTTGATGAGTACCCATCTTTAAAGCAGTAATATTCTCTCCCTCTTAAAAACTCCGACACCCACGCAGTGATGTAGTTGGGAAAGTGGTGATATGCATCTGTTTTAATAAAATTGAATGCTCAACCCTATCGTACGCTTTAGCCAAATCTAAAGTAACTAAAGCACAGTATTGGCGCCGACGCCGAGTCAGTTGTATTCGGCTCTCTAAATCAACATGCGCACACCATATTGAGCAACATGATCTAAAACCAATTTGACTGGGGTTTAATATTGCGTTATTATTAATATATTCCATTACCCGGGCATTCAAAACTCTTTCAATTAGCTTAACCAGATTTGACGTGATTGATATCGGCCTTACATTGTCCAAGGCGAATCCTTTTTCCTGCTTTTTAAGAAGTGGAATCACTTTAGACAGCTTCCATTCCGCAGGTATCCAAGCTTTTGTCAAAGAAAAATTCACCAGATTAAGTACTTCAGTTGGACAAATCTCGAATATTACTTTTATCATTGAATTTGTTACCCCGTCTGGTCCAGGTGCCGAAGGAGATAAGTGCCTTATTATCTCTGCCAGCTCACCTAAAGTAACCTCCTCGAAATCCTCGCCTGCCATTGGGTTCACAATGTGCAGTGGTAGAGTTGACATAAATCTATCTTGGAGCCCTTTCGCAATATTTTCTACTAAATCAGAGAGCTCACGGGGGGAAAGAACAGAAGAGTCAATATTTTCAGCGGGTGGTAACATCTTTTGAGATCTTAAAAATCTGAAGAGCGCTTTTTTGTTTTTAGCCCTAGAAAGATACTCATGTCGTTTCATATTGTAACCATTTTTTGCTGTACTTACTGTGCGTTTGAAGTCTGCTGCTGCGAATTTATAATCACACCAATTTTTTGGACATTGGTTGACCAGCAGTTGTTTCCATGCAACTTTCCGTTTTCTATAGCTCCTCGTGCACTCTTCAGTCCACCATGGACTAAAAGAACCTCTTGTGGCCGAGTCTAATTTAAACGTTGTGTCTTTTACTGATTTTTTAACACTGCACAAAGACTCATAGCCCTAATGTCACCTTGTATGTCCTTGCGGTGATCAAAAGTAGCCCTCAAGTCTTTTTCTAATTTTCTATAGTTGAGGAATGAGCGGGCCTTTTCAGCGACATGTATTCTTGGAAACTTCAGTACAAAACTAATAGGCAAGTGGTCACTGTTAGTAGCACAGTCTAAAGTTTGTCACGAACATATATTTAGAGATGAGCTTGAAAATGTCAAGTCAATTACAGATTTAGAGAGACCTCGGACAAAAGTAGCAGATTGCGAATTTAAACAAGATAAATTCTTGTCAATAGCCCATTACCACAATCGTTTTCCGCTTAAATCTGTTTTAAAACCCCAGGCCACATGATGTGAATTGAAGTCTCCAGTGATTAATACATCCTTTCTGCAGGCAGAGAACATATCGTCTAGACTACGTGTGTCTTGCACCCCGGCTGGGAAATACGCATTTACAAACGACAAGGGAGAAGCGTCTGGTAATATTATGTCTACTATCAAAATTTCACAATTTGGAGTCACACAACGATAAGAGATCGTAGCTTTGTGACTAAACTTAGTTGCTATCAAGACAGCAAGCCCACCACCTCTGCTAGGTCGGTCCAATCGAAATAGCCGATAATTTTTTAGGTGAAACTTCTGGCTGATTGAAAGCCAGGTTTCTTGCAGTGATATAATATCCGGGGAAAGTTGTGAAGAAAGGTATGATAGGTCTGTGGCTGCGGAAAATATAGATCTGCAATTCCACTCTAATATGGTTAGTGAACCTATTTTGACGACAGAACCGTCGCAGAAACTGCTTGGTCCAAAATGTCCTTTCGCAAAAAGTCTTTCTTAGACATGTTCTCAAAAAATTCTTTTTTGGATAGATATTTTTTAGATTTCAAACTATGCGAAGAGTTTTCTGATTGGGGAGATCGGGTTCGCTTCAGAGCCTTATGAGAGTCCATATCCATATCTGCACATGCTTCCGAATCATCCGTAAGATCACCGTCTTCCGTTGTTTTGGAAGTCCCTGCCTCAGGAGAAACCGCTCGCTAACGTGTTGTCGCACTTTCTATTTCCGTACGCTGCGATACCAATGATGTCTGAGGAGCCCAATCGTTCGTAGATGCTACACCTAGAATTTGAGATAGTTGATTGGAAACCAATTGTGCCAAGCTTTCAAAAAGGTTGTTTGCGAGGCGTTCCATTGCCTTTTCCATAGCCTTCTCTACGGCCTCTGCGATAGATGTTGCGAGAGATGCATCCATGGCGGTGGTATTACGTGCTGCAACACTGGCATATCCTTTGGATCTCTCCTGCATTTCTGCAACGGCTTCTCTCCGAGAGCACCTCTTGCGTTCTACAATATCCAATATGGCAAGCTCCCTTTCTTTTGCTGCACAGTCTGCGGAGTCTGCAGGGTGCGCTCCATTACATAAGCAGCACCTCTCTTTCTCAGAGCTGCACTCGCGGCTGTCATGATTTTCACCACACAGACGGCATCTAAGAACTGATCGGCACCCTCTGACGCTATGTCCATATCGCCAACATTTCAAACACTGCAGGGGTTTGGGGGAAAGTGGCTCTACCTTATAGATCAGTGGCCATGCCTTAATTTCGGAAGGTCGGACTGTTCCTAAAAAGGTCACTATCACCGATTCCGTTGGTGATTTTATGTTGTCAATTGTACGGGTGCACCTGTACACTGAATTTACACCCGCCACCGAAAACAAATCGAGCACATCTGCAGGTGTCAGGCTTGTGTCTACACCGCGGACTAATCCTTTCGAGCATGCGAGGTGTGCCGGAATAAATGGGCTTACCGGATGCGCTGCGAATTCGGAACATTGCAGGAGCTCACGAATGCATTCCTGATCTGCGGAACAGCACAGGATGCCTCCGCGACCAAACTGGCGGACCTCAGTGATCTCCTGGGGATGCGAAGTGGCTTTTCGAAGCTCCACTTGAATCGCCTTTGGGTTCTTGATCGGAATACTGCCCCCATCTGTAGGTACCAGCGCCACAGGGACACTTCTCGCTCCACTGCGTAACAAATAGTCTATCGGCCAATCCTTGGCGGGAGTGGAAGCTAACCAAGGGGGGTGCCCTTGGCCGGGGGAAGAAAATAACATCAAAAATGGAATGACTCGCTTCAGCTGAGAAAGAACAATACAGTTACCGGAAAATAAAGAACTCTCAAAGAACAATAAGGATACTGCCGCCTGATCCTGAGCCCGGGCAGCTTCTTCACAGTCGAGCCTCACAGTCGAAATGCGACGTGGCGTTCCAAGCTCGGTACGACAGAATCCCCCTTTGGAAACGAACGGTATCCTGGGCCTTGCGCGTAATGCTGGTCTCCTTGTCCTCTTCTTCTAGATGGTGGTTAGGACTCTGATCCGAAAGTGCAGTGGAATTCACTAGTTTAGACAGGTATGGCCGAAGTTGAGCTGGTTTCTTGGTTCTAAAACAAAACATATAGGAAGATGTGATTAAAGTATGAATAACAAATAACTACAAGAGTCTAACTCCTGCTTGTTACTTATAAGAAAGTCCTTGCTTTTGTTCTAGTTGACCATCTCTGGTGGCTCATACCCACAGTGGTGGATCGGCCAATAATTGAGTTGTCTTATAAAATCTTATTGACCTTTAGAGTGAAAGAAGGTAAATTATGAAAACGTTACAAATTTTAGAGTACAATTTTGGTGCTCCCTCAAAAGTTTTGTATATGTAATAGATAATAACTTAGATCAGAACCTAATTTTAAAAAATAGAAAAAGTAAGAAAAGGTATGCGCATGTAGGCATAGAAGAATAATTATAGAGATCAGTTTTATAGTATTTTGATTTCATTCAGATATTTCCGCAGAGCCACGCAAACTTTCACACTGGCAAACCCAGAATGAAGCCTCTTAAGGACCGAATCGCGGCAGTGAATACATTCATTTGAAAAGCACGTAAAAGACATTCTAACTTGGATGTGCGATCTGTAGTAAATCACCTACGGGTAAAAAAATATCTAAAGTTTCTTGCTCATCACAAAAATCATACATTGGAGAAAGAGCCCGACCAGACCTGTGTTGGTAGGAATTTAGTTTCAGTACCCGACAGCATGGCCTCGTAGTTGCGACTTTTAGTTTACGTGTGTCACGAAATGATTGGTATCAGGGATATAAATACTGCTGATATTCTGTGGAAGTTTTGAGCAATGTACCTGCAGAACTTTCCATAATAGTACGCCGGAAAAATCGTGCAGCCGTTACATAAGCGGGTGGTGAAAATCACGGTAAAGTTGGCCCACTTATTGATAACTTCGCTAAAATTCGGCCATTTTGTTTAGAAGCAGCTCTTTATGACCCGTAATCCAAACTAATCTAAATTTTCTCAAGTGTGCTTGTAATAATAAAAAAATGAATTTGTTATGTGCGATTCAGAACCAACACGAAGAGTAGCGCAAAGAGTAAGAGAATTTGATCGATAACATTCAATGTATTTCCGTGTTTACCTCTTGTAAGGCGAATGCTACTGCCAGAAACTCGGCCACAAAAACGGGTATGAAGTCAGGTAGTCGGAGGACATAGGACCTATTTAAGTTCGAGTTATGATGCATCTGTAGCAAAGATTATGCTTGTTTTGACGCTCTGCAACTGCTCTTGCAATAAATGATGTAGAGTGTGATGGGGGAGTAACTGCATAATTAAGAAAAAATGTCATCAAAATGAATATCCAGATGGGGTGAACTATCACTAGTCAGCGTTATTTCACGGATACCTACATTCAGTGGGTCAAGTAATTGTTGCACAAATATAATTTGTGGTGTGTAAAATTGTGGTCATATAACACACAAAAATAATTCCGCAGAGGATACAAATGGTGTATCCGACTGCTGTAGTGGTCACTCATAAATTCTTAAACATGCCTGAACGATCAAGACTTGCTTCTGAGGTGCCGTCCTCGTCTTTCCTACATATGATTAACGCGCACTCAATTAGTACTGACCCTTCAAATAGCAACGGGAAGAGTGGCGCTTTGTTGAGAAATATTAGTGATTGAGGTTTAAATTATGAACATGGAATCAAACTCAGTGGTGTCCGTTTCTCAGCGGCATTCTTGGCGCGCACCGTATTGAGATCCACGTGTGCCGCACTCACGATCTGACACGTATGGTGACGATCCATAAGAATGAGAGATATCGGGCGCCCCACGCGGCCCATGCAGCAGCCGTTCGGAGGGCAGCGGCCCCTTCAACGTTATGTAGTGTCCACTTACCCAACCACCATATTGCACACATCTCTATGGGACAGCGCCTTCTCGGAAACCATACGAGAAATGGTGATGGCGACACAGAATGCGTGCCGCACCAATTATTGTATCATCATGTGACTGTGGTTCTCACGCATCTCTGTGGGACAACGCCATCTATTGTATGATAAGGGACACGCTACTGGGTACGCCAGAGAGAGGGATTGGGCTAGACCATAAAAAGCTTGAACCCTATTGAAGCGTTTTGCTTAAAGACTTTTTCACTGAAGTCTCTTTGAGTGCAGCCGTAGTCCTCTCAGCTCTGTTGTTAACAAGCGTGACCCCCTAAAGATGCACTGCCGCGGCTGTGACTTCGGCTTTTGTGCTCCTGTACAACAGCCCTGAAAGAAGGCGACCCTCTTCCCCATTAAAATGTCTATCGAACACTCGGACGATTCCAAGTAGAGATAGTGCACGGCATGTTCTCATTATTTTTGGCGGATGAACCATACACTGCAGGCGTTGGCTAAAACTGAGGGCAAACTAACACGAAGCTGCAAGACTAATGAAGAGTGGTGAAAGTTTACGGACACAAACACAAAACACTTTTGATTCATTCTTTTCATTTTCCACCGACTACTTCAGTCTGCTTCTGAGCTACACAGTAATACTTTGTGTAGTTAGGAAACATTACCTTAGTTTTCACCCATTGACCTTCATTTTCATGTGAATGCTGGATTTGCAGGTGTCACGCTGGGTGCGCAAGGAGTGGCAGGGTCGCGCCTACTTCTCCTTCATGGGCCACCCGCACTCCCTGAAGATCATCAACCTTCGCCACGAAGACAAAGGTACCTACGTCTGCTCGGTGACCTTCCGTGATGGAACAACCAGAAATGCCACTGTCTACCTGCAGGTCATCGGTGAGCCGTGAACCACAAGCACTTACTATACTTGTCTTTATTGCGAATCACTTCTTCTGCCGTTGTATTACCTGCTCGATGCAGCCGCCAACACAGTCACCACCAGTACTGAAGCGTGAATAAAAGAAGAAATTTCCTATCAACTTTCCTAATTAATTCACGTTCGCTATTGCAAAAACCAGTGCCACTGGGTACCAGCGTCCAGCGCCATGCCTGATTATGGGCTCAGTATGGCGCTGGTACCAGTGCCTCCCAGCGCAGGTACTGAGACGCTGGAGCGGCAGCGTCCCAGTACTCTGCGCGAAATGGCTTTCCCTAATTAAAACGGGTGCGCTCATTCGCCATAAGTAAATAAATATGTAAGTAAAATAACGCGCATTCACAGTAAAAGTTAAAAAATTATATATGTAAAAATTGAAAGAAATAAAACACCACGGGACGGGATTTGAACTTGCTACCTCCTGATCTCTCCTCGAGTACGCTACCCACTACGCCATGCCAAAACGTGCTTATGGAGCTGTAAAACGACTATTTATCCGAAGAACGCGACGTTTAACTTCATGTTTACAAGTCGCACAGTCAAGACTGACACAATATTCCTTTCCAAATAACAATTGCGTCTTCATTAGACAGTGACGAATGGCTCCCGGGCACCGAATGACGTGCAGATATTAGCAAGAGTGCCAAGTTTTTTGAACCATCTACATCTTAACTCTGAACAATCTCTAATTGACTGTAGGAGCAGCCACAGATTGTCAGCTGTTGCTGCCGATAGTCTTTTTTTCCTTTGATAGTCGTTTCTAGCACTTGCTACTGGTCAACAAGTGCAGATGATTTACATGTCTTGGTTGGTAGATATTTACGCACACCAGTGAATATTGACTATTTTTCTTTCGCGCAAGCGACGATGTACCAGTACACATCTGGCGTGCCGGGTTACATATTTGCAGCTATATCGATACCTGCAACTTAGAAACTGCCGAACAAGTGACTAATGTTCTCCCCTAAAAAGTATGCCAGTATGTTAGTTCACTAACGCGTACCAAATTGCCAACTCAAAATTGCGTGTTCTTACGTACGAGTCAGAGAAGTACCGGCTCCTGCACTCGGAAGGAAGCTTTTGGCGACAGCCTACGTTGCTGAAAGCACGACACATCGATCGTCACCGCTCCTTGTGTGGGCACCGCACACGCATATAAATGGTTGATTTAGGCTCAGGAATGTCTAAGCTGTACTTTACAGTCATTTTTACACTTTAGAATTGTGCCTACCTAAAGTAAAAAGCGCCGGCAGCAGGTACACCGACGCGGGCGGCACGATAGGCCTCACTGGGATGGGGCACTGGGTAAGGCTGCTTTCGAAGCAGCTGAGTTGCGATGCTTGAAGTTTCTGCATTTCAGCTTCGCAATATTTCTAACTGTTACCTAAATTGTACCTGAAGTAAGTGGAATGTCAATCAATGTCAGATATGCATTCACGGAGTGGCGATTGCGAGTGACAGCAGTTTTTCTGGCCTCTACTGGCAGTAAACATCGGGCGTGCCAGTGTACAGATATATGCAGTTATATCAATACCGACAATTAAAAAAACACCCATCGAAATACCAGTGCAATCCGCTGAAAGCGTATGCCAGGGGGTCAGTTCACGAAGGCGTATTAAATTACCCACTGAAAATTGCGTGTTGTTACATATCAGTCGGAGAAGTACCGGCTAAGTGCGGCCGGCAGATTTCGGTGACAGCCTGCGTAGCTGAAAGCGCGACGTTCGATTGTCAGCGCTCCTTGTGCGAACATTGTGCGACACAAAACAAAATAGCTTATTTACGATTATGGATGTCTAAACTATACTTTACAGTTATTCTCACACTTTAAAGTTGCGTTTACAAGAAGCAAGAAGCGCCGGTAACATATATACCAACGCTGCTGGCATGACAGGTTTAATGCTCGCTGGGCCATGCACTGGGTAAGGCCACTTACGTATGCTCGGTATCTGTCAAAAAAATTACGTATTCTCGATATCTGTTAGGGTAACATCTCTCCCTGCCGTCGAATCAAGCGTTTTATATTCAACGACACTGAAACAAACTACGGCACATGCTACAATAACATGCACGCTTCAGCTGCGCTGGTAGAAACAGTGCGTGTTCCAGTATTCACCAGCGCTTGCCAGTAAAAATTCCAGCGCTTCCAGCGCTTCGCAGTGCGCGCCAGCATCACAGCGGCTGAGCCAGCGCCCCTACCAGTGCGACCCAGCTTTTTCCCAGTGCGCCCAGCGAAGGGCCAGTGATTAAAAGCGTGTACCGGTGTCTCCAGCGTGTACCACGGCCAAAAAAACGTACTGGCATTACGCTGTTTTTGCAATAGGGTTGGTTTGAATGATTCATGAAGGCCATTATTTGTCACCTCTTTGTTTGTTTAGTAAGTAATCAGTAGTAATAAGGATCCCTGAGAAGGAAATTCGGTTGTTCTGAAAGTAGTGAAGATGATAGCCTCATACCGAGTGTATGAATATAGAACAATCAAGCATTAACGCCGAATGAAGTGGTCTGAAACGTTACTTATCGATGATACAATTGCACAAATGCGCATGGTTACATCGTTTGAATATCGAGGATTCTTCTAGAAGGCTGTGAAGCCTGAATGAAATCTCGACAGGTAAGTAGGGACCTGTGAATGCTTTAAAGGGGGCAGCGTGCCTTCGAAGGAGAAAATGTAGCAGCTCTTCTTCACTGTAGTAAGAAAGGAACCGCATGTCTGTTCGACAGCTTTCAACCTTTACCCGACTTGGGCAATTTATTATTCATTATTTTTTGCCCCCCTGTCGGCAAAACAAGTAAAATTCTTGAGGCCAAATTGGTGTTTTCAACAAGCTGAACTGCGTTGACAATATTAACTTGTTTTCAAGGCCTTCCTGCCACCGAATGTACATAGAATGATGCTAGCGGCATAGCGTACATACCATAGTACGCAATCTGCTTCAAGTCTTACTGAAAATTGAATAGAGCTGAGAGATTATGCACAGCGTGACCAGAATATATGCAAGCGAGGAGCACTTAAATTCGCAAGTCAGCACATTATGACCGTGCGACGGGATATGTATTACGCCATGTAGAAACAGAAAGTTATTACAGGCAGCAAGATTGTCATGCTAAGAAGACATGTCGGGTAAACAATATCGAAAAATGCACGTTGAAACAAGTGGATGAACTATATGAAAAATAAAACCGCATACATCTCAGCCGGTATGAATGCTTAACTCACTTAGGCGTTGTAATAAAATTAATATATTTCACAAACACTTTAAAGAAACGTCCTTAGAAGGTCTTAGAATTTATTATGACTATACTACCGAAATACGTGTATTTCCATTATTACAGGAAGAATATTTTGCAACCCTCGACCGGTATGATCAGATAAGCAAATGTTTCTACCAATGGGAAAATTATCGCCCTCATATTTTGAAAACTGGACAACGCCAAGCCCCCTCGTCAAACGAAAGGGATTCCTGGCATATATCTACTTAAACATTGAAGAAAACGCACTTCCAAAGATGTCCGCACTAGCTCAAAAGCCCGAAAGAGGGAAGGAAGTCAACCAGAGAAGAATGTAATATAGGAAAAGGCGCACGGTGCTCGGAGCGGGGAATCCAATTAACGGTGAAGCAGCTCTTAACACCCTCTTTTCCCAATGGCCGATTCAGTTCACGCATCACCGCGAGAGGGTGCTGGCATCAAGTGGTAATCATGTCGGCTTGTTTTCCGCCTCATTCGTGCGTCACGCTTTATCGACTTGGGAGACGGCTTCAGAGTCGTTTCTTTATCTTCTTGATACTGTTTAATTTTGTTTGTTCCTTATTTTGTTGTTAGCTGATTGCTTTTGGGACGAGTCCTTGGTATTTTTAGTTTTTGTAGCGGCCGATTGCTTGCACGCAGTGCCTCCGGAGCCACCTGTGATCATGGACACGCAGGGAAACGTTCTCACTGGAAAAATTGGCCCTTTCAACGAAAGCAGCCGACTGAGTCTCATCTGCGAGGTCAGAGGCGGTAAGTAGCTGGTTTCTGTTTTATCAGTGAAATAAAGAGAAGGATATAAAGGAGAATTACAAGGAGAAAGAAAATGGGAAGGTAGACGATAAGCAGTTTAACATAAGTGCATACGATGTTCAATAAACACACACTGAATTGGTTAACTCTCACACCCAGAGGTTAACAACTCGCTAGGTGGTCGAGAAAGGCGGCTAGATTATCGAGTTTGGTGACGGAAGAAGACTCAGTTAATTAAGGGCACTTATATGTTACACAGTCATGGGGAATGAGAAGGACCTAGCTGAAATAGCGAGGGGTGGGTCCCCGCTAATGCTCACTTGTACAAACTTTTTGTCGTACGTAGGCGTTGACAGGCAGCAACATCAACGATCGTCAAACCGACAGTATCAGCGGGAATTTGTAATCTGCTAACATCAAGCGTCCGTGTGCCATATAAATTCTTTACCAACATATTGTTACGGAAATGATGTAAAGGAAAAGGAAAGACACAAGCAGCTGACAGGCACGCGAGTGTGCCAATCAGCCATTGTTATTCTTGCCTGTGGTTTTTTTCTGTGTAAATGCATTTTGTACAGAGGTCACCAATCTCGTAACATATTGGCTAGAGGTGCTGGGTCATCATCAGGCAACCGAGCTCCGCAGCGGACGTCGCATCAGTTTTCCAGCCATGGCAAATGCTGAGCCGTCTACGTCAACGTCAGCGTCTCCGACGAACACGGCTTCGCAACCATAGGTTTTCACGCCACTTAAGGATCCCGGTACACTCTGCGGGACAGATGGCGTCGACGTTGACGATTCATTGGTCACGTTCGAACAAGTGAGCATGCCGAACAGATGGGATTCCACACTTCAGTTGGCTAATGTGCTGTTTCACTGGAGCGGCATGGCCAAAGTGTGGTGTGTAAACAAAGAAGAACTCACAAGCTGGAACCAATGCAAAGAAAAGATGCGAGAGGCACTTGGGAAAACTGCCAGCCGTAAGATCGCGGCCAAAAAGGAATTGGCCTGTCACGCCCAATACCTCACGGAATGATACATTGCATACATTCAAGACGTATTTACCCTCTGCCGAAAGGCCGAAAGCGACATGACAGAAGGTGATAAGGTCGGGCATGTCCTAAAGGGAATCTCCTGATGTGCAAGGGCTGTTCCATCGTGGACGCGATCATCAAAGAGTGTCGTCAGTTTCAGCAAGTGAAAAGTCGCCGCATTCTGCCCGACTTCCAAACACCGCTGCAACATCGACTTCGCGAGGACCAATCCACACCACAACGTCCGTCGCCGCCGGGAGACCTGACACGCATTCTTCGTCACGAACTAGATGCAATGGCGCCCTCGGCGTTCTATTCGCTTAGTACCGATACCACTCCTGTTACTGTTCCTCTTGTTCAAGCCATCGTGTGCCAGGAGCTTGAAAACATTCGAGTGCATTCTGTGTACCATGTCACCACGCCCAGAGTCAGTGAACGCCCTTTCGCGATGCTCTCCCCCGGCCGACGGTTTTCTCCACGTATTCGCAACCCGGCTGAGTGGCAAACTGCAGATGACTGCCCTATATGTTTCAACTACCACCACGTTGGACATATCGGTCGTTACTGCCGCAACACATGGTCCTCAGCACCTCGTGCAACGACCCATAACCCTTTTCGACGTTACCGCCCGCACCTTTTCACCTTCCGAAGAGCTCAGTGCCGTTGACCAATCTCGGAACACTGGGTACAGCCGCTCGCCTTCACCACGTGGGCACCAGTCTCGCTCGCCGCAAATACGCCGTCCATCGTCTAATTCGCCACAGCCACGGCGCTTCTCGTCCCCCGTGGCTTTCGGCCACATCATATCGGAAAACTGAGAATTGCCGCCCCCGGAGGTGGTGCCGCATTGACAACTTCCGCAGCAAATACTCCCTCCGTTCCCACCAGATAAAGTTTAATATACGTTGAAGTAGACGGTGTACATGTACAAGCACTTGTAGACACCGGGGCAAGCATTTAGGTCATGAGTTCAAGCCTACGCACACATTTAAAAAAGTTCTGACACCAGGCTGCACAAATGCTCCGTGCGGCCGATGGCAGCACGCCGATGGTTCTTGGTCTGTGCATTGCCCGCTTTAGTATAATGGACCACACTACTTCTGCCATTTTAGCCGTGATTGACCACTGCCCTTATGACGTTATCCTAAGTCTGGATTTCTTGTCGAATCAATCTGCTCTTATCGGTTGTGCTACCGGCATCCTTCAGCTAGAGCTGCCTCCGATAGTCGCTGAACCCCACGCTGCCTCGCCGCGGCTGTGAGCTGTTTGCGTCCTTCCTCTTCGTTTGCTTCATCTCCGTAACAATATCTTGACCATGAAGACTAACCTATTAAAAGCATGTCGGAACCTTAGCCTTCTGCAAGACACAGCTGCGTTTACCGGTTGACACATATCGAGCACCACAATTATGGCACGTTTGACACCATACACAACGTCTATTTAGAATTAATCTTTCACTAGATGACAGTAGACATCGTTTATTTGAGTGTAACGCCCAATATGAGCTGTATTGAAGAAGAGTGACCAGTTCTGCAGCCACACCACTGCCGCCAGCACAGCTTAGTCAGCAGAGCATCGGACGCATTGTTCGAAGTTCGCAAGTTTGATGCCTACAAGCGGGAAGCTATATTTTCGTCCACTTTTCTTTCTTCACTATTGCATTACAACTTCAACTGCTGACATGCCGCATACTTTGTCCCAATGATTGTATCCCTATGGTTGTATATGGGTATCCCTATGGTGTTATATAACCACGAAAAATAAGCTCCTGAAGTACCCGTGTTTCTTAGTCCAGAAAAAAACACATATAAATAAAACCATAGAATATAAAGCAGACATTGGACAAGATATTTAATTACTTTTACGGGACATGCCAATTTCTAAAGCAACCGGAGTGCCCGTAATCTTATCGGCTGTATTGTTCGAAGTTGTCGGCTTACTACTAAGGGCCACTATTACTGGATTCTAGGTGATAGCTAAATAACGTGGCTCTGAAGAAAAAAGAAACAAAAGAAGATTGTCGACTCAGTTCCTTGTTCTTCATTTCAGAGAACAGGCGCCACAACACGTCCCGCAAATTTTTCGTTCACCGGTGACGTGATGGATATTTAAAATACTGGCGGTTAAGATCCCCATCTTTCTTTCACTTGTTTTTATTTCTTCCTCGAACAATGGCCAAGCCATTGACGCTACTGTACTCTGTGCGGTGCCCTTTGGCCTTTATTGTCAAGCCTTAGGAGCAATCTCAGTAGCTTCGGCTGCATTCAGAAGCCTGCAGCAGAAAAGAAAAGTCACTGCTGCACCTAACATTTGATTAAACATCAAATGCCAAACTGAACGAAGGCGTAACTGAAAAGTTGCCAGTGGCAATTATTGCAGTGCCACACAAAATAGAACCTTGCGAACTTTTTTGACGTCACACGTTGTTGTATACATCTTTGTTATTGGCTACAGGGTGCCATTTTGTCTGTCTTTTACATGTTGTACTTGGTCCTACCTTTTGTTGTTGCTTGCGGGTGACGTTGAGGTAAATCCAGGGCCTATGTCGAAGGCGGACGCTGACGCATTCACCCAGGCACTGGAAACTGTACAGGAACTCAAAGATGAACACGCTGCTTCGGTAACGCATCATAATACAGTCCTCGACGAAATGAAACCACTAAGGCTAAAGGTCGGTGCGTTAGAAAAGGTTCAGGCCACCGGAATTGCGGCTAAGGACAGTACAGAACCAGCTCTTCGCGATATGTCTGAAAAGCTGAAGTCAATTTTACATGAGATTAAGCGCCTAAGTACAAAAGTGGTATCACTTGAAAAAGCACAGTCTTCGGCAGGTATGAGTTCTAAGGCCACACCTTCAGACACATTGCGAGGATTTACGGATCAGCTTACATCAATATCTTCACAATGTGGTGAAGCGGAAAATAGGATGCGTCGATCCAACCTACTCTTTTTCGGTTTGGGAGACACTGCTAGTGAGGATTGGGCAGCTTCTGAACAGAAAATTATTAAGTTTTGTTCTGAAAAATTGCAGCTTACACTCACTGGTACTCAGTTTGAAAGGGTTCATAGATTGGGTAAACATAATAAAGAAAAGTGTCGACCAATCATTGCTAAACTTACCCTTTTTAAAGATAAGGACCAAATCTTGTCGCGTGCCTGAAATCTGAGAGGCACTAAGTTTTCAATACGCGAAGATTTTTCATTAGCAACGCGACAGACCCGCAGAAAACTAATAGAATTTGCCAGAACTGAAAATGAGCCATTTAGGCTTGAAGTGGACAAGCTGCGCATCGAAAACGTTATTTACGTCTATGACGCCGTCTCTAAGTCAGTTATACGCTCAAGCAGATAGCTAGAAGGAAACGTACAAACGTTTAGGAAGCAGGAGCTGCATAAGCCTTGCACTCCTCTATCACTGACAGTATCATTCACTAATATTAGAAGCATATTATCCAAACGTGAAATAGTGTAATCTTATATCGATGATAGCCTTTCTGATATTTTTGTCTTCACTGAGACACGGCTTAACGCTGACATCAATGACAATGAGATTTTTACGCATGCTAACAGATACAACGTCTATCGAAGCGATCGTCCAGACAGAAGGGGTGGTGGTGTTCTTATAGCTGTTAAAAAAACCATCACGTCTTATGTCGTCGCTTCCCATTATAAGATTGAAATTATATGGGTAGTTTGCACAATTCATTCCACAAGGATGTTGCTCGGCAGCTGTTATCGTCCTCCCGATTGTCATCATTCTTTCTTAGAAGAGTTGCGCAGCAGCATTAATTCTGCCATCGAAATCTGTGAAGCTCGCATCGTTTATTTATTCGGTGATTTCAATCTACCATTTATTGACTGGGAGCAGCTGTCATCTTCTCGTAAGTACTCAACTGACTTCATTAACTTAACTTTAGACTTTCATTTGGCTCAGGTTGTCACTCACTCAACTCGCGGCTCAAATAC